ATGAAAGTGCAGTGAAACCCGATAATGCGCCGGCTAATCAACTCCTAGAACCCACTCGAAAAAGTAGTGGTGTTCGCGTCATCAAACGACTCATTCAAAAGGACAATTTACTGGAAAAGGATTAATATAGGCTCTCAACCTCCTATCCTCAAACAAAAAGTCTTAATCTGAATCCTGGTTCCAAGCCGTCTTTTTTCTCCATTTTTGTTGTAGGTAGAATCTTTAAAATCTGACATCAGGTTGTATTTATAATGTTTCTTGGTGCTATTCGTAAGTATCACTGTACCCGTCTTCTGGCAACTCTTCCGCAGCCGTGCAACTTGTGATAAATGTCCCTTTGACATCACATGGCGATCCTTCCATGAAGCCTCTTGGCACTTATTCGTCTAGTGTTACGATGAATCATGCATTTACTGCAAGCTTTTACCTGTAAATGGTTGACTGGCGTCATTTCATGCACCGCAGCTGTAAACAGTACACGAAAATGCAGAGGTGCCTTCGGCTTTATCTGCAGGTACAGAATCTTTGACTCAACTCCAAAATTCAGCATAATGTGACGGCTATTCACCGAGAAGTCGATTGCGATGAAGAGCGCTATGGCGGCCATGGCGGAAATATGTCCAATCTGGCATGAACAAGAAAAAAAGAACGTTTCATTAGGGAGGGGATATATCGTTTTCAATGCTGTTTATTACTGTCTGTGCAGTGTGTCTTGACGTTTCAACGAACCTGGAGATGCACGTCCTTTGGATAATAAATTGAATCTACTGTGGTACTTTCCTCAACCCACGTGGTCCTTAAAACGAAAACTCCTGAGTAACTTGGCCGGCATCGCTTGTTTGGGGAATGAACTTGCTGAATTACTTCTTCTTCTTTTTGCATAATGCTTCTAAATATTCATTAGACATGACTTTTACTTCCACTACACAACCTAAAAGTTACAAAAACTTGACATTTGTACATGATGTAAAATCTCCTCTCTTTCAGCCTGAGGAGCTCCACTACCCGGGATGAAGAAGAGATGGCAAACAACATCAGCAAAGATTTTTCAACGCTAAATGTTGTATCCACACCTGTAAAAGTGATATGCGCCTGAAATTCAGTAGTAAATTATTAACATTATCGTGAAGGCGTTCCAGAAACCGCGAAAGACTAGGGGCGGTCCCATAGTTCTTGGCGTCGCAGAGCACCTATTATTTTCGCCGAGTAGTTGTATTCAGTCTGAAATTCAGCATCTGATATTCTCATCAAGGTTTTGCTGCAAAGAGAAAGAAAAAATTCGATATTGGTCACTATCATATGGATATGCGGCTACTAAACGGAGCTAAAGGTCGAAGAGCAAGTCCTTCGTGGTCAACAAAGCTATGAGTATAAGAACCAGCGAAAATAGACCATTGTCTGACGGAATAAAAATTGATGCATACGGACCAACTATGGTGACTATTCGTAACGCAACTACTGAGTGCTTCGTTACTTCGACGCCGACCGCAAATGGCAAAGGCATTGACAGTAACCAAGGTCCATAAACGCCGTACATGTATCAGGAGTTCACATATTTCAGTCTGTTTCACAGTTTGCAGATAGCCGTAATGTGGGTGTGGACCTCACTGACATGCTGGTCATACCACACAGGACAATGCAAATTTGCATTCCTCCAAACATGGTAATATGGTGGTGTCTATAAACCGTAGTCTTCCATGTTAAGTTCATTACACCAGTATGAGCCTTGGAGCAAGTGGTTGGTTGACGGTGCGAACCACAGGTATATTGCCTAAGCATTCTAAACTGTGACCAGTAAATAACTGGGGGATCACAGGTCATTATTGAAAAAGTGGGCTTCAGAATGTGGAGATGGGGATAGTTGTCAACTCGCTTGCAAGTTTTCGTCATAAGTGATTGTTCATGCCTCATTTGATGCTCTCAACGGGATGGCGGACTCTAGTTTAGGGTTTGTTTCCGTATATGAACGTAATAAGTAACTTTTGTCAGTGTCTAAGAGACCAACAGTAGGAACAACAGAAGCCGAGAAATGTTTTTCGGTGTGTTGTTTATTTGGACTGTGGCAAAAGTCACGACCATTTGAAACGAAAACTTCCAAGAACACAAGTTCAAAACCCAAAGAAACACTACTTACCATCTCTAAACCTGAAGTTCAAGGTTATGATGATAATATATCTCTGGCGTTTGCCGACAACTTCACAGAAAACGGCACGAACATTCTGGTTGGGATTTGTGGGATTTTGAGCAATAATGAGGACAAAAATCATCCAAAATTTAATATTTAAGGCTCCTTTTATTTCATTCGCATGTTCGAACGTAACAACATATTCCTTATCTAAGATTTCTGTCATCTGAGATATGTCGAGAGCCGTGAATCAGCGCACGAGGTCAATATTCTATAGCTGAGGAATATTCGTCACTGGCAGCTAATTTCATGGTACTCAGTCCCTCTCAGCTGACGTTTCGTGAACAACAGCCCGCACCTGTTCGTCAGTTGTCACCACATGTTGGGTCACTGGTTGTCGTTCCTATGACCGGTCGATAAAAGCGTCCAGTTTAATTTTGACGATTCTGAAAACCGCGGCGGCTCACTGACAAACAAGCGAACGTTCCAGCTTACTTTTACACCCAGACGTTTTCAGATAACTTTTATGAACTAGTGGTTGGTTTAACAGTCCGTAAACGTCCCGGGGGTTTTGTTGACTAGTTAGCCCTCTTGTTTTCGTCATAGAAGTGTGTTCGACGTTCCCCGCTTATTTACAAATACGGCTATGGTCAGCCCTCAAAAATCCATCATTTTCATCTGAAGACGAAGCAATAGGGTGAACTACGGAATGGTATAAATTGTGGACGCCTTGCTTGCCAGGACACGGAAATGTTCAAAAATTATTCATCACGAATTATGTAAAAAACTGCAAATTAAAAGAACAAACGGTTAAAAGAATAAAACTTGCTTTTTGCTACAGTGAGTGAATTGCTTTTGGACAGTTTGGGATGGTAGTGATTCCCTGTTTGGTTCATACTGAGGTTTTCCCCGAACTGTCACATTAGGGGTTTCTCTGAGAGGCTGTGAGTAGTCTCCATGATACGAATGTTTTTCCTAGGCGCGGAGGGCGTGAACTATTCTCATTTTACTTCTGCACGTAACCTGGTACTTGTAAGTGGTGACCACACAAGTTTGCAGTACTTAAGCTGGGACAAAGACCACAAACAATCGCAATGATACCGTAGTATCCACCATGGGCTGACACCGTCTGCAGAACCCCTGAAAACGTGTGAATCCTGGACAGCCGTTGTATCCCGAATGGGTTGTCGGTATGTGTTTCTGAGGAGCTATACGTTGCGGTAAAACAACCGTCTAGCGCGTTCAGTCTTACAATGGTTCCCCAACGTAAATCGGTTCGTTTAGTGTTACCGTGAAATCATTAAAACCCCACAAACATCTGGACTGAATCAATGTCCAGTGATAAATAGTGACGCGCGCCAAGGGGATGTCCCCTAAAGTTCTATTTGGAAGTTAGGGCATATGAAGCGAATGCAGTCGAATGTGATGACGAAAACTCAACAACGGCATTTCGTGAAGGTTGTGCAGTATCGCAAGTTGACAAAAGCAGGAAATCGCGGGGCGCCAGAGTCCCAACCAGTGGTTCAGTGTCAACGTGTTCGTCATGACAACTTGAGGTCCCAGGCCCCATTCCCAGTATGTTCACGGATGCCTACAGCACAATAGTGCCAAACTAGGATGAAACAGCCACCAAGAGTCCCGAGAATATCGAGCGTTCCCCAATTGATGTTAGGGCTTGATGAACATTACAGAGAAACCCGGATCGGGCACAAAATTTAAAAGTGAACCACAACGGTGGAGTTTCAGTCAGAAAGAATTGTCTTTATGCGTTAGAAATAAAGCAAAACCGGGCACTCGTTGACTGTAACACACTCGAGCATAAAAAGTAACAAAATACACGCATTCGACTTGGAGATTGTGGTGGGATATTGGTCCGCTTCAGATTGTTTATTTGATATGGCTCACAACGATACAATACTGATTTCTGGATGACGTTGTGAACAGAATTTATTGCTCACATTCACACGCGATCGTACGGCGTTCTAGCTTTATTTATGCAGTCCAACAGTTCTTTAGTCTTTCATTTTAACTGTAGAGAACTTTTCAAAATACCGGCGAAACGCCATAGGTCGTCCCTATTGGGTGTTAGGTGTTGATTTTATGAACAAAGTATTTGCAATCAGTGTCTACCTCCAGCTAATGGTGTGACCCCATGGTGTGATTATTTATCACAGGTTCAGTTTCTAACCTATAAACCTTGGCGGGTTGCATCGTACCATTTAGCTGGGCTTCTGTGCTTCAGCATGCTATCATGGCTGTTACTCTTTTCGAGTTGACCCGTAACAATGAATCCTAAGCATTCCATTAGTGGTATAGAACTACATTTTGTATTTACACATGACCTACCTGCATGCCTAACTTTTCACTAACTGTTGTTTCATGATGATCTCAAGATTTGGAGGGAGGTATATAGGCCAACAGTTATCGTGGTCCTACAGAAGAACCTTTCTGAAACTGTTGGTTGGACAACTGAAGACTTCCTCCGTCCCAACGTGAGGTAAAAGACTGTGATTCCAGACAAATATAGGCATAGTTCGACTTATTTCTCTCCGGCAAAGCAAATGCCTATCATTCAAAAACGGAAGATCTTGGGGTTGAACTTGGAGCTCTAGTCCACTGTTGCTTTATGGCTGGCAGGGAATATGGAGTCCTTGGGTTTCTGTCTCGAACCCCATGTAGTCTAACTCGGTATCTTCCACCCACAGTGTACAGAGTTTGGAGTCATATTGCCACTAACCGATTCCAAAGGCAGTGTAGAAAACGTATATTATCATCTTATGATCTCTGAAAGTAAACAAGGCGCTTACAAGTTTCAATGGACTTAACTCATTCTCAAGAACTTCTTAGCCATAGAGATCAAACAAGTGAGATGTACATTACAGGGGTGGGTGCGGGTATTGATCACTGAAGTAAATGCGGTATTGAGGTTGAAAAGTTATTGCATGGATTAACTAAGTCAGCAGGTTATCCATGAATAAAAAGAAACGATATATACTACTTCATATGTTGTTTATGTGTGATCCGTCGCTTGCGGTTTTCTGAGTTGTGTGCGCTCCACTTGGTTGGATAACTGCGGAGTTGGAGGAAATATATTCGGTTTGTTCACTGTTGAGTGACATACTAAGTTCTTTGCATATTTTTGTGGCCACACGTCGAATATTTCTATACCAGGTAATAGATGTGCAATTCGTACCATTATTCAACTTGTATGTTCAGTTTTGATCGTCTACGGAACCTGTATATGTGATATCCTAGCATATTCCATATGTATTCATAGTAATTTATCGTTATATTATGCAGTAAAATTTTGAATTAATTTCAATTAGTTTGTATAAACTGTGGAGCTCATTTCATCGATGATAACACCACTGGGTGATATGGATGAGTTTGATGAAGGTGTTGTTGCTGACCATCATCGCACACATGACGGGGGTTTTGGTGACCCAAGTTGTCTTCACTATCAGAGCTTCGATAAATCTGGACCAAACTGGGTTAATATGCTCCGACAGCAAGGCGCATCGGTTGATGAAACTAGCCCACAAACTACGCATCTTAGTCCAGATGTACACAGCATATCGGACTTAAATTCCGTAAGTGATCGAAACTAGTAACTCAAAATGTTGTTGATGAATATTTACAGGCGCTAATATATTCTTTGTCGAGTATTGTTTCCATGCTTTGAGTATCATATTTTACCTTTTATGAATATACGTAATTTCGTTTGAGCTGTCTTTGCTGACAAATAAGGCTACCGATGTCAGCCATCCGTATGAATTGGTGTAGGATTTCCTGTTGGTTGAGGCTGACGCTGCTCTCATATATTATGGCTTTTGATCATAGAGCATTTACTATTTGTTATTCTTCAAGATTTTGGAGGTCAACGAATGACTCATCTTTATGTGGGGTTATATGTAACGTAAATGGTCTGACAGAAATCTAATTGTTTCGCGTACCCCGGAATTTGTGATATCGGAAAGTATTTTTTGTGTATGATCATTCAGAGCACATGTTAGTAAATTCTGACAAACGTGAAAACTAGGTCTGGTAACTTTCTGACCGTCACTTAATTATAAGTTTTTACATAAATATTTATGCTTTTTTTCGTGATAATACATCTTATGTTACGTTTATTTTGATTTCGTTTTGTGGTAAGGGTTAAATTGTTAGTTGCTGAACCTACCTAGGTAAGTCTGCCGGGGGCGAATGCCATATCGAAGTGTACGATTATCGTATCATGTGATGGCAGGCAGTTCGGTATCAGTGTAAAACCTTGGGCAGAAGTTTTATTTCAAGCTTCTACATTTCATGGTAGCCCAGAGGAAGTATATGGATAAATATTTATGATAATGGTGATAATAATTAGTAGTGAAGTAGACAAAAGTAGGCGTCACTTTGAAATTGATTGGTAGATTCACCCGTTCCGTTTTCCAGCCTCTCAATAGTTCTTCGAAAATACTTATGATGTTGCCATGTAACCTATTTATTTGTATTTTAAATGGCAGCACCTGACAACCGTACAGTTTAAAGGAGTAAACCACTGATTCTTTGATATGTCAAATATCCCGGCATTAGAACTGGTGTAGGTTGGCAAATGTCATGAGAGCTTTTCGCACCCGAGTCACCAATGCACCCATTAGGGTTGATTCCACTTGTCAAGTAGGCAGTTTTTCAATAAGTTCCATCTCTGCAAGTAACTTAACGATATTAAAATGCTGTCTTTGTTTCTACATTTTAGCCATCATTGTTATTTAGTCACGACCCAAGTTCCGACTGTTATAAGTTTATACATGAATAATCTCGTTTGTAAAATTATCTATGTAAAACTACTTTATAGGCAGTGTAGTTGGCTTTTTAAATCTAATATTTCCTCATTCAGTCTGTCTTCTCATTACGATATAGTTTATCAAAGTAGCTCAAAGATGTATTTTGAACCAACAAACATTTTCAACCCTGAAACTGCACTGCATGCTACATCAGTTCGGTAATAGATTATAATGTAGAACCATATATCACCGAAAGCTTCTAATTTGATGTAGTCGTCAGACTTGCTTATCGTGATGATCCGACAAGATGTGTGTAGTGGAATGATTGTTTCGTGAAGTCCTGCCATTTTCGAGAATCTTCATTGGCTAATGGTGACGTAAGAAGCAACTAACCGTGGAATTTACGTGAGATACACTGTGTTAGTGGTCCGAAGACAAAGTCTTACTGCTGGTTATACGTGTTGTGTAGACAGTAAGGTTTCTCTCAAAGATGACCAGCATTCCAGTTTTATAGTCTTCCGTTATCACGACGAGTTAGATCAAATCAGATCTAAAAGTAGCATATTTACTCATTCCTCATAAACTCCTGGCAGCAACTAGTATTTTTCCAATTAGATATGCGACAAAAATATACACGGAAAATTTCCTAAAGGCCTGCAATGTAACTAAGCTTAGTTACCCTTGTCATGTGAAGACTGAAGATATTATCGAAATTCGAAGAATTGAAACTCACTCATCAGTCTTTTGCACATTTGTGCTGTAGGCAATGTGCCATGCTTATTGTGTGAGTGCTAATGTTACTACCTGGTTCTCCAAACCTTGATAAGTGGGGGCCGTACTGGAACTTGCCACCCTCTGTTTAAATCAACTCTAAACCGGTGAGCTACAATTCCACCAAGATAACACCTATTTAACAAAATGTGATACGAACCTTTAAATTATCTGCTAAAACTGAAAAGATCCTAACTTAGTTTAGGTATCTATAAATTATTTAAAACTCGATTTCGAACCAATAAGTTTCAACTCTACAATTACTTCAATCTAAACTCTATTAATATATTTTGGTGCACACAGATAAAGGGCTCTTTCAAAACTTCTCTTCACTATATATGCAACCTCAATCTTTCTCAAAAAGATTGAATGGGTAATATTCATTCCGAACTTGCAGTATGTCCTATGCACAGCTGTCATGATACTTATTAGTTCTATGTTCACACAACCAGTTAACACTTGCATATACGACTTTGCTTCAGGTTTTCTCTCACCTTCAGTCATTATTACCGTCCTTTCATCTGAGTCAATCACTAATTTAGTTACTGAAGGACTGGAGGTATCGAAGATTTCATGAGAATAAGGTATAAGGATGTAATTCAGTGACCAAGTGCAGTTACACTTGGTAATAAGCCACATATGTAGTATTAAGGTTGATGCTACCCAAACTTGAGTTAGTGGAACAGTTTGAACTCGTGACCCATCGACTGAGAGTCAACTGCCCTAACCGACGAGTCAAAGCTCCATTTCACAGCAAAACGGATCAGGTGCATCCGAAATATTCGGGTGTGATAATTTGTTGTTCACTTAGCTGTAAATCTCATTCAAAAACTTCACTCAAAGAGTCTATTTTGGGAAATCTCCATTCACACGCGACCTTATAAACTGATTGATTTAAGTTTGCAACGCTTGTTAACAATATTCAAATAAGTTCATGCTAGAAACAAATATGGGTTATTAATCTGATAAAATGAATAATACACCTTAATTTTGAGAAAAATAGGAGTGAAATATAATCGTACCGCGGCTTGATTCATAGTTGTTTCTACTATGGCTCCTACTCTTAAGTATCTTTTCTTTTATAAACCTCATGCGGTTAGTGTGTTTCTCAACAAGCTAATAAATATATTCAATGATATAATTAATTATGTGGTTGGATGCCCCTAATTTTTGTTATCCACTGTATTCTACCTTGTACACTGAGTTAGACGGGTGCTGAACACGATCGACGCAAACCGTTTCATTAAGTAACTGACTGACTTACAAACCCAATGTAGAACCTCGCACAGGAGTGCACCGTCTCAAGTTACCACACTTCACAGAAGTACACAAAAACAGGTGGGTAGAAAGGGGTGATATCCAAGCAGACAAAGTTGTGTAAGAATAAACAATCCGAAGATAAAGGTTATTGTGAATATTCAAGCTGTAGATGTCAAGGAGTGAATGCATCTGCGCCATTGTGACCGATTTTCAGTTATATCACAAACAGTCCTCAACTAATAATTCCTTTTGTTTCGGGGACCCGAACCAAGAAGTCTACATCTCCATATACTGCTCAGACAAAAGCTCAAAAGCTTCATCAACTGGTGCCATGTCTTGGTCACCCTAAATCCTTTTCCAACCTAATCGAACTTCCCCTAGCATGACATGTCGAGGTAAGCGGTGGCTCGGCGTGTGCTGTATATGTCCAAGCCATCTCAGTCGACTAAGGTTCACAGCCTCCTCAGTCGGCTTCCCTGGCTTGCCTAGTACCTTTCATCTGACCTCAACATTGCTCACACTGTGATTCCACCAAACGCGAGGAATGCTGTGAAGGCACCTCTGATTAAAGCTCTGCAACCGCTTCATGTCTTCTACTTTAAACGGCCATTTTTCACAGCCGTACAACAGGACAGAACAAACTGTAGCGCAGAATACTTGTCCTTTGATAGATAGTCGGATATCTCACCAATCGGCACCACATATAAAACATGTTGGCAAATGTCAAACGGGCCTTCTGTACACGAGCTAAAACTTCATCAACAACCAGCCCGTTCGAGCTGATGCAACTTCCCAAGTAAGTGAAGTGGTCGACACATTCCACCACTTCACTCCCGATCATTAAACTGGGATTACTTGCAACAGACCAGTTCTGGAGTATTATCTTACATTTGACAGGTGCCAGGGAAACGCATGCAAAACATACTCAGATTTCTGCTCAAGGCGTTCAGAAGACCTTGCATTTTGTAAGCGTCTTCACCTAATTGGACAGTATCGTTTGAAAATTCCAAGTCAAATGGGTGACCTCTAGGAAGTAGGTCAATCCATGTGGTCAGACGTATATAAGGTTACGTCCATTAGTAAATCTATGACGAAGTTAGGTAGGAACGGTGGTAGTAGAAATCCCTGCCGGATACCACTAGTTGTAGTCAACTCACTTGACAACCCTCCATAAGCCCTAACACACCTGCGTGAGTTCAAGTAAAAAGCTTTGATTAGCGTTATATACTTGCTCTCTACTCCCTTCACAGTTAGAAACTGCCATAACACCTCACGGTCGAGCTTTTAGGTCAAGAAATATGACAAGTGTCAGTCGCTGGTAAGTATACCTATGTTCCAGAATCTGTCAGAGGATAAAAGTCTGATCGATTCACCCTCGACCAAGTCTGAAATCTGCCTGCTTTTCTGGAGTTTTCTGTTCTCGAACTCCAGCTAGATGTCGCATATGTATGGACCCTAGGATCTTGGACAAAGTATTAGTCAAGCTAATTCCTCTACGGTTGTCACAAGAAGATTTCTCTACATTCTTATAAGCTGGAATAATCAATGAACTAGACCAGTCTGACGGGACTACTTCTGATTCTCATACACTAGCTACCGTCACTCTTATCAGCAATTTCCTACCTCCTTGCTTGAAAACTTCGGGTAGCAAACAATCAGGTACTGCTGCTTTACGTCGTTTCAGGTTGGATATGGCTTTCTCGACTTCAAGGAGCGTTGGAGGACCGACATCTATGTCGCATTCAGTGCAGGTCCAAAGTATAGTTAGTATCCAGCGCGTACATTGGTGCTTACGT